TACTCGAACTTCACGTCCTTTATTTTTGTGAGTCGAAACATTGGTTTATCCATAGCAAACTCTTATACAAACTTCTGATACTAACTTGCCAGTCCAAGAAAACTATGTTCCTTAGTAGATCTCTTGGACGTTGGCTTATTGGTTAACTTCTCCAAGTCAACTTAATAATCCCACTTCTAAGATATCATGTCTGAGAAATCCAATCTTCCTCAGGACTGTCTCCCGGGTCAGAACCGGTTTGACATAACCTTGGGCTCTGATACCAAATTGAAATGACCCGAACCCGCTACACGGAGCTGGTCAACGTGTTGACTTCGTGGCCCGGTCCAAATCATCTTTAAATGCAACCCCGTCAATTAACAACGGAAAACGAACTCTTGATTTAACCAACCTGTAAAAGAGAGAGGGATGAGCGATTGAAAATCACTCAGTGAGGGCAAGCCTCAGGGCTCACGAAGTCCTCATACACAAACACACTTAGACAATCACAAAGTCTAAACCTAAGACAAGTAGGCAATCACGTGTCAAAGACACACACACATCAAACAAATGAGACTACGTCCCATAACCACTACCATAAAGGCATGCAGGATACGAACGTATAACACACGCCGTCTACCCGTACATACTAGATTCCTCGTGTCTGAGCACTTCTCCCGTGCAACCGGATCCCTCGTGCCTCTTGCACTTCTTCCGTGCACCTCATACTCGTCGGCTCGTCAGCCATCCTGATCTATTTGGAAACGCGTCCATAGACCATAACACAACTACGAGGATCTCTCCTGTAGGACTCTCTCTGCGGCTCACCGCATCTTCGTGCCATTAGCACATCCTCTCATCACACAACATTTATACCACAAAAACATGCATTTCACGAATCACACAACCTGCATTAAAATATTTATTTTAATTTATTTTTCTAAGATACTAGTCCTTTTTCTTTATACTTTAAATAATAATATATTTATATACTTATAAAATATGAATACACACAACCACACAAATACGGTTACTCATATATATGTAACTCGCAGGTATACACGGCTTAACCTTAAACTAAGTAACTACCTAAACATATCGGTATATGAAAAAGACACAACCTAGTCCTGACTTTAGCCAATCGGTTCTGAATTCTCGGTTTAGCACTATAAACAACGGAGACCGGTTCAACAATACTTCTTTTTTTTTTTGTCATCCGAAATTAATTAGAGCTCAAAAGAGCCATTCCTGGGGAATGTTGTTTACAAATGTGATATGAAGCGGTTCTGTACGAATTTTTCGTGCCAGATGATCCGCTTTTACATTAGCATTACGAGAAATTAAAGATAAAAAGAAGGATGAGAATTCTTCCTTGTCGCTCTGAAATTCCTCCAAGTACACTGAAAACGCCGGCCATTCGGTTGGAGAAGACACCATCTTCACCAGATCAGAACAGTCTGTAAGGAATAACAATACTTCTCAATCTGCAACTGTTTAAATTAATCGATCAAAGATAATTTTCCAATTAATAATCCATGATCAAATTCTCCAAATCAATTAATGAAACAATCTTGATTTAATTGATTTTAGGTGTTTCCTCAATTAAATTAATTAGACCCAAATCTAATAATTTAATACACCATAATATTCTAATTCATGATCACATTAATTTGGCTCCATAAACAAATCTCCATAAACCATACGAACACATAATTGACTTTGGTTTAATAATCAATACCAAACCCCACTAATCGCACACACCACAATTCTCACACGTGATCATGTTACCGGGTTCGGTTCAATAAACAAATCCCATAATACATCTAAGACATATCTCGTATTCTAGGATTGGATCATAAGACTTAAGATTCCTTGGTTTAGGTTGGTTAGACTTCGGTTCAATAACAACAACCGCAACAAGATTAGAGACGAGAGTTTAGCTTCGCCGTTTACCTTTCTCGGCGATTACTCTCAATGGATCTGCGTGACGTCTCGACAAGCCGGTTCAAGCTCACGGAGGTTACATCCTCATGGCGCAACAATCAAAAGCAACCAAAGCATAAGACAAGGCCAAAGAATTCATGCACAAGTTACTATATAGATCTAGGGTTTCCTTACCTTTTTTTTTTTTTTCTTTTTTTTTTTTTTTTTTTTTTGGGTTTCCTTACCTTTAACGGCCTAGACTATAGCTATGGCTGCTCCGGTGGTGACAGTGGCCTACATCTCCGGTGGCACACGGTGGCCATGGTCTCACGCTCTATCTCTTCTCCTCCACCAGAATCACGATGGTTTCTCACAACGACGGCCATGTAAGCTTTGGAACGGCGGTGGCAACCAACGCCAACAACACACAATCAAGTAAATTATACGAACATTATGGAGATAAAACCTAAAGTTTAATAGTATCAAATATAGAGTTTCTTAATTTGTTGAGATTTATTAATCTTTCAATTAAAATGAGAAAATTTATAAATCGTGCATATGTAATTGGTGGGAAAAAGGCGTATTTAAACCAGCACTTTCTATACCTCAACAAAGTCACAGTGTCTATTTCATCCTCAACATTAAAATAATTTAAATAAACTATCGAGACTATTAGATTTGGTAAAACTACAATGACTTAAACAAAATTAGTCAACCGTTTGTTTTCGCTCACTTAGAAGACATGATGACGTCGATGTAGGAAAATTTTGACCATGTTTCTAGGGAGAAGGTGGAATAACTGATTGCTGAGAAAAAGTGGAACTTTAAAAAAAAAATAGGAACGAAGAAGATTCATGCTATGTAGATTTTTTTTAATTGTTCCAAACTTAAAAGTGGGATTTTTAGTTTTTCATTCTTTATTTAAAAAAAATAAAATCAGATTAGCTTCATGGGTGATTCTCATCCATTGATCAATAGAAACAGTTTGATAGTGAAAAGAAATTGATCAAATAGGCTTGGTGGGAGTATTTATTTATGCAAAGTAACACCTACTACTTTACATAGGTGAATCTCATCCACTGAATTTAACTACCTTCTCAAACCTCAGCCATTAGATCGCACTTTTTTTGTTTCCCTATCTTTACCCTTATAATCTAACTTTTTTCGGCCAAAACCAAAAACAATAAATACAATCAGAAATTTTTAAACACCACTTTAGGAAAATTTTATAAATCTCAATATTATGTAAAATAGCCTAACTAAGGCCTAAACTATCATCTCCGAATTTATGGAGATTTTATAATTATTCTTAAATGATTTTTAATTATCAACAATTAACAGTTTTCCCAAAAATAATTTCAAAAACCTATTAAAAACATTGATAAACTCAAACACTAAGGGGGGTATATTGGATTAGAGATTTTAGGAGAGTTGATGGATTTTAGGTTTGGAGTGATTTCAGAGAAATTCAGTGAATTTTAAGATCTATAAAATAGAAAATCATTGATTTGGTAAGATTTTCTATACTGAATTTCGGGAGATTTTGGAATGCTACGGGTGACTTTGACATCAAATAAAACAATTACCATATACTTTTAACCCTCGCCATTTCCCTAACACTTCTTTGTTTTAGTGTTTGCCTTTGGTGCTGACCATCACCGTAGCAGTTAGCACCAACGTGATAACGCCGGAAAAGTATTTTGTTGTGTGTGCGGAACCGAGATGGCAACCAGTCTGCAAAATATCTACGTATTAATTGGTTAAATTTTTGACATTATTTTGCAGTCACTATTTGAGATTAGAGTTGAATTGCTATTGTTTGTTGATAGAAGACTGTGGAAGTAGAACCAAGAATCTATCGTTCTTGATTGGGGATTTTAAGTTTGATTATATTTCAGTCATAGAGAAAACTAACAAATAGAACTAGAGCTTTTTTTCTCTTCTTCTGAATCTTATAACAAAGTGAATATGTGATTTTTAGAGAAAAATGATTAATGATAACTCAAGAAACGACTTTATAGTTCAAGTAACAAAGTCTTATGGGAGATTAGCTTTTTTAACTCTGTTGCACTAACTACATCACAACCTTCTTCTCATCACTCATCCTTATCTTATTTTTATCTCTACCCAATGATGAAGACGAAGATGTTCCAGAAATCAGCTGAGGCTTGCTTCCCTTTTCCAGCACTTTCAAGCACTTTATCCATATCCCTTGTTAGCCATTAACATGGAATTTAGATCGTTTTTTGTTGACATCTTTGTGAATCATTCCAATTCAGACCAAAATATTTTTAACACAACCCTTTTAAGAATTAGACAGATTGATGATAGAGAAAACGAGTTTAGTTATTTGATTTGATTTTGCTAATTCAACCCATCTATGGATTTCCATTTACGGAGCTCATGTTGGAGAATGAGAATTTGCCTATGGTGGAGTCGCATGGAAGAAGGGGAGGGAGAGAGGATCTTCAATTCTCTCGAGTGTTTAATATATTTTTATTTTAATTAAAATCTCTCCAAATCACATCTCTATAGGTGTGAGTTTCTTTACCTCTATTTTCAACTAAATATGTATATGAAGTCACCTCAAATCTTTTTCAAAATCCTTTTTTAAAATTTCTGTTACTTTTTCAATAACAGTAGATTTAATATGAGTTTCACAAATCATTGATTGAATAACAAGAGGTTGTAAATGATTTTACATAAATTCTATTTCCAATAACATAAAATTTGGAAAGTCATTTAAAAATTGTTAGTTGAATAACAGGTGATTTATTAAAAAAATCAAACTCTTCTAAAATCTCTAATCCAATACATCCCCTAATTTTCTCTTGGTCAAACTTAGTGAACTTGAGTGTCGGAATTTTTTTGGAATAAACAACCCACATATATTTCCATGCTTTCACATGATCTTTTTTAATTTGCAAGAAAGCCCAAGATAATTATCCCCACAGAAATAAAATCATTATGTATTGTGAATCACATTTTTAGTTTCTTAAAAAAATACTAGTACTAACTAATTTTAAAAGATTGTTGCTTCACAGTATACTGTGGGTGTATATCGAAAACGGAAAATCTTAACTAAATTCCATTTTTTTGGGAAAATGTGAACTAATCCAATTTTGGATATCAAGAACAAAAGAACCAAAAAAACCGAGTCACTTGACCCGTGATAGAGATGATTTGGTCGTAAAGTAGAGAAGATTCAACATTTACGACTCTTTGCTATATATTATTAACTTTCCCATTTTGTGACTCCTAAATCATTTTTACCTTCTCCATCAATCGTCACCAATGACGCTACACATCATTGAGACTACCCGAGTCACCGCAGCCGCCGACTCCGACTCGGTCCTTAACTCAGCCAACTCTCTCACAATCCCTTTAACTTTCTTCGACCTTCCATGGCTACTATTCCACCCAGTCAAGCGAATCTTCTTCTATAAACTCACCGAGTCGACTCCTGAGAAGTTCCACTCCATCATCCTCCCTAAGCTCAAGCACTCTCTGTCCCTTCTCCTCCGTAACTATCTCCCTCTCACCGGCCACATCACTTGGGAGCCAGACGAGCCTAAGCCTAGCATAGTCGTCTATCCAAACGACGCCGTTTTAGTTACGATAGCCGAGAGTGAAGCTGACTTTTCTCATCTTTCCGGTTATGGAAAACGTCCTTTGTCCGACTTACACGCCTTGCTTCCCAAGTTACCGGTTTCTGATCACTCAGCGACCGCGTTCTCGATACAAATCACGCTGTTTCCAAACCAAGGATTCTCCATCGGAGTTGCAGCACACCACGCTGTTTTGGACGGGAAGACGTCAAGCACTTTTATTAAAGCTTGGGCTCAAATCTGCAAACAAGAACTTGACAACATGCCGGAGAATCTAACTCCGTCTTATGACCGGTCTTTGATCAAAGATCCAACCGGACTCGATGAAAAGATGATAGAGTTAGTGAGATCTCTCAAAGAGGACAAAACCAACATCAGAAGCTTGACTTCTCTTCCCGCTAGTGAACTCGGAGACGATATCGTGTTAGCCACGCTAGTTCTCTCTCGCGATGATATCGAGAGACTAAGGGAGCAAGTCAAGAACGTGTCACCGAGCCTTCACTTGTCCACTTTTGTAATTGCCTATGCTTACGCGTGGAGTTGCTTCGTGAAGGCGCGTGGAGGAAACGGAGAGAGGTCCGTGAGTTTCTTGTTCGTAGGAGATTTCAGAGACCGGTTAGATCCAAAGCTTCCGGGGACTTACTTCGGAAACTGTATGTTTCCGGTGGGTTGTTACAACCGTAAGGCGGCAGAGTTTATGGAAGAGAAGGGATTTGTGATGGCGGTTGAGATTCTTAGTGATTTGGTAAAAGGATTGAGTTCAAGAAAGATAGAGACCATTGCGGACACTTTTGTGGAAGGATTTGGTTTTCAGAGTTGGAGCACACAGTTTGGGACGGTAGCCGGGTCGACCCGGTTGGGAGTATACGAGGCGGATTTCGGGTGGGGAAGACCCGTTAAAGTTGATATTGTCTCCATTGACCAAGGAGAGGCTATCTCAATGGCAGAGAGACGTGAGGAGTCAGGTGGCGTGGAGATTGGAATGTGTTTGAAAAAGACTGAAATGGATATGGTCATGTCTTTTTTTAACAATGGTTTACAAAATTAATAGTTTTTTTAGAATATCCTTTTCAATAAGGTAAAAGCTTGCTCAGTCTTTCATGATAACTTCGTTTAATAACTCATTGAGTACAAGCTTTATGGTTAGAGTTGTGAGCTTTGTATGAGAACTATCTCAAAACTCAAAAATCGTACAATAAAATTTCTGCTTTGACTTTTTTTTTTTTTTTTTTTGTCATAGATACACATCAACAGATCTAGTATTCCAATGGATTTTAATCTATACACAAATAGGAAAAAGGCTAAAAAAAAATTATACTTCAAAATTATCAAAAAAAACTATTAACAAAAAAAAAAAAACTTTTTACTTTTTGTGTAACATGATTCGGATTGGACAATGTCCACTTATCTTATAATCTTTGATTGTATGGATTTTTAAGTTGGGCAGTTCTCATATATCTTGGAAGACTAGGAAGCAAGCAATCATTTTCTCGTTCTTCCGCAGAAATTGCATATCGCGCTCAGGGCCAGCCCTGAAAATTTGGGGTCCCAAGCAAATTTTAGGGTAGTTTAAAGTTTTTTAAAATTGGGAACCTCTTTTGCAAAAAATTATAAAATTGAGGGCTTATTTATTAAATAAAAATAACTGGAAATTCTGGGGGCCCTAAACCCATGTTTCACTTTGCTGGGCTCAAGGCCGGCCCTGATCGTGCTGTCCTTGAGCTCATTTTGGCTCATCTTTGCTTTTCCCTCTCATGTTGATTACTTCATGACCATTCCTTTGTTTTGTGACAATCTTGTCACCATATATTTAGGTGTCAATCCCTTGTTCCACAAGTATGCCAAATATATTGAGATCGAATACCATTTAGGTGTAACGAGAGTCTTAAAGGTAATGTTACTTATACACATCTCTCACGCAACTACAGTTCATGAATAGTAAGAAATATATTCCACGTGAGAGAGACGGAGAGAGAAGTTAAAAATCAAATGATTAGCTCTAATGTTTCTATCCGTTTTTCCATGTTTTCAATTATTTCAACTAAAAAAATTTAAAATTGGTGAGAAAAATGTCAATGAACCAATTATCAAATTGTGGCCATTTTATATATGAATTTTATAGTGGGCTATTTTAAACATCATCTAAACATTGACTATTGTGTTGAACATCACATTGCGTTGACCTAGTCAATATAGACATGACGTTAAAATCCGATAACGGGACCACTAACAGCTGTTATCATGCGTTAACTACTCTGTTACTCGAATCGCTAACTTTCATATTTATGCCATTTTAAACATGAATTTCTGTATGAGGCCATTTTAATCATCAATTAAACGTTGACTAACATATTGGACATCTGATTGCGTTGACCCGGCCAAAAAAGACATGACGTTAAAATATGCTAACATAACCACTAACAACCGTTATCTATCGTTAACGAACAATAAAACTAAGACAAAAGAAAATACAATTCAAAGAACCAAGACACAAACCAAACACCAAAGACTCTAGTAAACAAAAATGAGAAATTAGTTATTGGTTACTATTGTGCAGGCGAATGGTGAGATCAAGAGAGGTGAAAAGAAAATTGAGAATAAATAATAGGTGAATACTTAATTTGAGGAGAAGCATGATGAAGTTACATAACATATGTATACAAATGGAACAAAATGGGGATATTAACCCGGTATAGAACCGAGTTTGCCGTTTATAAATTTTATGGATTTTTTTTTTTAGAGAGGAGAATGCTCTCTAGTGTGTTTATGGTTTGGAATTCACCTAAATGAATGTTTAGTGTTAGGCACCAAATGAGAAATTTGTTCTTGGATACTAGTGTCTTTGTATCTTTGGTTCTTTGTATTGTGTCTTCTTATGTCTTAGTTTTGTTGTTTGTTAACAACTAATAACGGCTGTTAGTGGTTATGTTAGCAGATTTTAACGTCATGTCTTTTTTGGCCGGATCAACGCAATCTGATGTCCAGTTAGTCAACGTTTAGTTGATAATTAAAATAGTCTCATACGGAAGTTTATGTTTAACATGGTCTAAATATGAAAGTTGGCGATTTGAAAGTAGCTAACGCCTGATAACGGCTGTTAGTGGTTCCGTTATTCGATTTTAACATCATGTCTATATTGGCTAGGTCAACGATGTCTAATGATTAATACGACAGTAAACGTTTAGTTGATGTTTAAAATGACCTACTATAAATTTCATGTATAAAATGACCATAATTTGAAAGTTAGGGGATTAAATGATATTTTTCATTTATAGGGGGTGATTGGTAAGCACTTTTAAAGCTTTAGAAAAGTTTTAATATCTTGAAATTTTTTATTTTCTCAATCACACTTTTTGGCTTTAAATAATTTTAAAGCCTTCAAAGTCCTTCTTTTTTTCTTTACTCTTTGAATTCAGTTTTTTTCTAAAACCACGTAAACCTGACTTTAAAATTTTAAAAAATAAAAATTAATAGTTTTCCTTGGTTTTTTTCCTAATATATGAAAACCTCTAATAAAATTTGTTGAAAAATTAATTTCTAAAAAGTATTAACTAAGTTACAATTGATTTTTTTTTCTGTTCTTTTAAGATCCACTTTTCTATATAAAAAAACACATCATATAAAAATGGAGAAATCCTATACTATTATTTGGGGAGTACACTTTATAAGATACCCTTAACTAACCTTTCCTTTTGTAAAAAATTACTTAAGAATGCCATTAGTAATATAATTTTATAGAGTAAATTAATTCAACTCATTAAGGATAAAAAAGTCAAATACTATATTCTACAATTTAATTAATTTAATTTAATTATAAAAACAAAAATCTAATTATACTAGATTTTCCCGCCAAAATTGTAAAACCACGTTTTCCGCCAAAATCGCAAAACGCAAAACTCCGTTTTCCAGCCAAAATAGCAAATCACAAATATGCGTTTTCCGAAAAAATTATGAAACGTAAATCTGCATTTATATTTAATGAAATAATCAATAATCAGTCATTATAAATAATTAATTGAATAATTATTAGTTAAATGGTGTACATATTTTAAATGGGTTTAAATGGGTTTAAATGAGTCAAGGAAACTTAAATGGGATTCAAACTTAAATGAGTTTAAATGGGTTTGGAGTTAAATGGGGTGGGCTTAAATGGGTATGGGTTTAAATGAGTTGGATTTATCCATATTAACATCCCTAGAACTCCGATCCTAGTTTATATTTTTTTGTCTTACGCATATGTCACATGCTCACATGTAATAGATGGAATTGGATGAACGAGATATGGACCAAGTGTCACTGTCTTGACCCCACGTGGTGAACTATGTGTACTTGTGAAGCTTTGTGAACCCATAATGAACTACTTCTGTTGTGTACTTGTGACCCCATAATGAACTACTTCTGTTGTATATTTGTGAAGCTTGTCATCCAACAGGCACTTACGTGTAATTGTCCACATACATAGTTCTTTGGGCTCTGAACGCATAACACAAGTATACAACATAAGGTCCTACCAAAAAAAAAGTACACAACAGAAGGAGTCAATTATGGCACCACTAACTATACTCCCTCTGTTTCTAAGTTATCCTTCAATTAATGTACTATAAAAGATTTTTATTGGTTATTGGTTAATTCATAAAAGTCATAGAGATAAAAGTGAAAAATTTGACAAATATCTACATTGAAAAACAAAAACGACAACTAAATTGAAACAAAAAATTAAATCTAGAATGACAATTATTTTGAAAGAGAGAGAGAGTATTAGATTAGACTTTAACAACAAAATATACTATATTAAATTAGATATTTGGAGTTAGTAAAAAAAACAGTATATTCGTAATGAGTCTCAAAGAACTCAAACATTGGACGTCATAGCTATGAATTTGATTTAAATCAGTGTTTATATAATTAAAAAGTTTGTACGGCCATTTCAATGGCATTTAGACGTCAACTCGACAATTTTTTTTTCTATTAATCACATACTCCCTCCATTTCAAATTAGTTATCGTTTTATAAGTTAAATTTTGTTTCAAATTAGTTGTCGTTTTCTATTTTTGATAGTTTTCCTAATTTTACCCTTATTATTTTAGTTTTTCAATTGATGATATAAAATAAAATAATATATTAATTAGGGATAAAACAAAAAAAATAAAGGTTTTCTTAATATGCGTGAAAAAACTTTAAACGACAAGTAAAAAAACGGAGAGAGTATTAATTAGAAATCATGATTGGTTAGAAAGACAAATTGTTATAGACGGTCATCACCAAAACAATCGGCAATTATTTTATCACGCTATAATACGAAAACACATGTTTCCAAAATTATAAGATGAGTTTATTGCGCATTTTAAAAAATAGAAAATAAATTTGAAGTTACATTTTTTGTAGTACATCAAAAAAGATAAGATAGTCTTTTCTAATTGATATTCGGAATCAAAATATAAAACTTAAATAATTTGTATTTTATAGTACCATTATCCAAATATAAATTACAAAATACTGTCTTATCTTCTTTTCGCTTCAATGATGAATAAGTTATTTAATTATTTTCTAAAGTAATCTTAAAGAGTCCACTGCTTTAATTTTGGTGATCGTCTACAAAGTTAAAATTAATGAAATAACATTATAGTATACATCTTTATCAAAAAACATTATAGTATACAAACGTGAAGGAACTGGATTTGCAGAATGAGATAACCATTCCAAGTCTTCAAGATAGATCAGTCGACAACATTCTTTAGTCCTATTTTATTTGTGTCTCTCCAGTTACAATTGTCTCTTTCTTGTTGTCTGCATTATCCCATGTGACCTCAAAAACAACATTGCTCCTACGATTAGTCTTTCGGACGATATAATATCTAAAATTTCACAGATTACCTACTTTTAAATAACCCTTTTTTTTCAAAATTCGAAAGTTACTTTGTATTTTTTTTCAAAAGATTTGATGGGTTAAAAAAATATATATATATATTGCAGGTGGAGGAGAGCTAGCTAGCTTTAAACTGCAAAGTCATAATTTCCTGCCAAAACCGCATTATTACGGGTTCCTGCCTAAATTACAAAACCATATTTTCCCGCCAAAATCGCAAAACAAATATTTCCCGCCAAAATCGCAAATCCATGTTTTGTATTTGAAGTTACATTTTTTGTAGTACATCAAAAAAGATAAGATAGTCTTTTCTAATTGGTATTCGGAATCAAAATATAAAACTTAAATAATTTGTAT